TAGCTGGGATTACAGGCGCCTGCCACCACGCCAGGCTAATTTTTGTATTTTTTTTTTAGTAGAGACGGGATTTCACCATGTTGGTCAGGCTGGTCTCGAGGTCAGGCAGGTGATCCTGACCTCGTGATCCACCTGCCTCTGCCTCCCAAAGTTCTGGGATTACAGGCATGAGCCACCATGCCCGGCCAGCATTTTATTTTTTACATGAGTGAATGTATTTCTGGTCAACAATATTACATTTAAAAATTTGGGGCTGGGCTCAGTGGCTCATGCCTATACTCCCAGCACTTTGGGAGGCCGAGGCGGGTGGATCACCTGAGTAAGGAGTTCGAGACCAGCCTGGCCAACGTGGTGAAACCTTCTCTCTACTAAAAATCCAAAAATTAGCCAGGCGTGGTGGTGGGTGCCTGTAGTGGGAGACTGAGGCAGGAAAATCGCTGGAACCCAGGAGGCAGACGTTTCAGTGAGCTGAGATGGTGCCTCTGCACTCCAACCTGGGTGACACAGTAAGACTCTCTGTCTGTTCTGTTACTAAGAACAGAAATGATACCAAGCTCGGATTTATAATTTGGAGGCAGGTTCGCGAGAAGAAAACACCAAGCCGAAAATAACAAGGTAAAAGAAGAGGATTTTATTTACAAAAGGATATAGGTAAAATAAGAGGATTTTATTTACAAAAGGGACATACCGAGAGACCGTCCGTCCGGACACTCAACACCAGCGTTGTAGCAGCACGGGTAAAACGCAAGTCAGAACTCTAAGCAATCTCTCTCTTTCTCTCTTCAGCACCGGCGTTACAGCAGCATGGGCAAGGCGCGAGTTACAGCTCTCCACAATCTTTCTCTTCCTCTCTTTTTCCCTCTTTCCGTCTTTCTTTGGTTTTTGTCTATATTTTATATGTTGCAGTTCAACTTAGGTTATAGTAAACACCAGCTGCTCTTTGTCTTGTCTCTCACGAACATTATCATTATGTAACAGCAATCCTTGGCTTTGTTTACGGTTTTCGAAGAGACGGGAATTGGCCAGATTCCCGGCTCCTCGGACATAAGCCACGGTCATCATGAGCTCCTAATGCCCCGGGCTTACTGCCAAAGAAATGATAACTTTAGTTCCCAAGGTCCAAGAAACTTAGAGCAAACACTGGGCATGACTTTTTTTTATATTAACCCTACACTGTCTTTAGGGAAAAAAAAAAAAGTGGGACCGAGAGGAGTGGCTCACACCTTTGGTCAGGAGTTTGAGGTTGCAGTAAGCTATGATTGTGCCACTGCACTCCAGCCTGAGAGACAGAGGGAGACTCTGTCTCAAAAAGCCAAAAAAACAAAAAACTAAGAAACAAACAAACAAACAAAAAAGCAAATGTAGGCTCCATTTGTGAGAAGTCTCACCTACTGTCTGTAGTCTGTAGGGGTGCCCAGTGGTCTGATGTGCCTAGGGCTGAAACCCACTTTGAAAATCATGTTCTTGATAAGGCATGACCTCTGATGCCAAACTGCTCAGATTCACTCCCAGGTCCCCACTTCACCGAGTGACGTAGAGCGTGAGTTCATCTCCAATCTTTAAGATTTTAAGATCGGTGTAAGGATGAAATCAGCATTTACCTGGGTGGAGCTGAAATGTCACCTTCTTCCTTCTCAGTGATCTACTTCTGTTAATACAACCAAAACATTCATGTCTGTGGAGTTTCCATACCACACCTGTTCTATGAACACTTGTATTTTACATGAATATTTGCACATCTATTTGCTATGAAAATGAAATCTCTACCCCAAAAGTTACTTGATGAAGAATCACTCAATTTATTACTAAAAGTCATGGTGTATGAAGATAATTCTTACGAAGTGAGACAAAGCACTTTTCTTTTATTATTTATTTATTTATTTATTTTAATGCCTTCAGGAGCCTGTTTATCGTGTTTGAGATGATACATCAGGTGCTCTCTGAGCTACAAAGGGTAAAAGGAAATCCTCTCATTACAAACTGACAAAGGTAAAAGGTAAAACATTTTTCACAACAGCATGAACCACATACCCAGATCTGGATTTAATACAAATGACATAATTCCTAGTCATGTATAGCTACGTTTATAACTTCATACAGATAATGAATTAGGCTAAAATGCACTATAATATTTGGTAGACTTCAGGACCAGTATCCTTAGTACATCACAAAATACATTTTGATATCCCAAAGAAGCAAGACTTGCAAGTAGGCGTTTTAAACATAACTAATCTACAGCTACAAAGTTCTACTCTTGATAGCATTTACCTTTTTGGGAAGTCTCCCAGGCTCCAAAGGATAAAAGCAGAGTAGAATCAGTATAACATACACACAGAAGTCCGTATTGTAAAGGCTATAAAGATTTGCCGCACAGTGAGAAGATGCCTTCTGCTCCTTCACACTGCATACAAATTATGTGAATTGTGTTGCGTATCTCTTGGTCCAGTGTCTGGCTATCTTGTCGTGTTCTGCTCTGTTGGTCAAATACTGAGTGGCTATGCTTCCAACCAGAGGATCCGCAGGGTTGCAGTCTGTCAAAAGGGAACAAATAGACAGCAAAACCTTTGAAATAGTCAAAGCGGGACTCCAGTTGTCTTTAAGGATGTCCAGACAGATGACTCCCTGACTGTTGATGTTGCAGTGATAGATTCTGGTGCGGAAAGTAACCTTTGGTGGCTTAAATGGATAATCCGATGAAAATGTGATATCCAGAAAAAACACACCACCTTCATATACAGAACCCGGTGGACCAAGTATAGTTGATCTCCATTCATAAATGTTATCTCCTTTAGGCCCAGCACTGCAATTAGGAGGAGGATCAAGGGTTATTTCAGCTACCTCCTTTTGAATTCTTTTAGCACTAGTGGATAACTTAGCAGTGGTTTTGCTAGAGAATTTGGTGTTTTTCTTCTGCTGGGTGGCAGAAGGTTTTCTTTCTTCTTGTTCTTCAGGCTCTGGAGCGGCTGGGTCTCGCTGGTCCGCATCTTAACTGCCACTGCTGGTGCCGGGGCTCTCATCATCGGACCTTTGCCTATCCCTGGACATCTTGGTGACGTTATCTGTTGGAAAACTCGGCCGCCCGCCCGGCCCGCTCGCGCGCCGCTACGGTGTCGGGGAGGGAGAGAGAAAAAAAAAACAGGGGAGGGAAAAAAAGAAGCCGAGGAGGCTCTGGCCGGGGAGTGTGGAACGCTGAAAGTCGGAGGGGGTTGTGCAGTGCCGGGCTCCGGCCGGAGGGTGGCGCCGCCCCGCGCCTTCGGAAAAAAGGGTGGGGGTGGGAGCTTGGCTGGGCGAGGGCGCGAGCTGCCTGCCAGGCGGAGGGGACGGGGGAGACCCCGCGCGCTGTGGCCTCCCGGCCGCGCAGTCAGCAAGTTCCCAAGCAAGAGCGGGGGGAGGGGCGGGCGCGGCGGCGACACGCGTGCTCGCTGCTTGCCTGGCGGAGGGACGAGCACTTTTATTTTCTAACATAATGTCTTTTTTAAAATTAAGACTGATTTGAACACTTGGACTGATAGATACATAGATAATACACATGTTGAAGACCACAAAATAATGTTTCGTAAGATGCTTTAACGTCATGGAAAGATGCTCACCATATATTATGTGAACAACCCAGACAGAAAAAAAAATATGTGAGATAAAATAGCATTTTTTCTGATTGAGGTAAAATTCACATAACACAAAATTCACCATTTCAAAGTGTTCAGTTCAATAGCATTTAGTGTACTCACAATGTCATGCTCCCTTTGTCACTATCTGGGTCTGGAACATTTCCACATCCCAGGAGGAAACCCTGTCCTGATTAGCAGGTCCTCCTCAGTCCCACCTCCCCACAGCTCCTGAAAGCCACCAATCTGCTTTACATCTCTTCAGACTGGCCTGTTCTAGAAATTTCATATAAAAGAATCATACACTAGGTGACCTTTCGTGTGACGTCTTTCATTCAGTATCATGTATTGAAGGTTCATCCACAGTGTATGGATCTGTGCTTCATTCCTTTTTATGGCTGTGTAATATTCCATTGTATGGATGGGCCACACTTTGTTTATGCTTTCATCTGGTAATACATACATTGGGGTTGGTTTCATCACTTGGCTACTGTGAATAGGGCTGCCATGAACATTCACGCACAAGCGTCTTTTTGTTTGAACACCTTTGTCAATTATTTTGAGTATATATCTAGGATGGAAAGCTTTGCAGCGGAATAGAGTCATATGGTAATTCTATGCCTCACTGTTGATGAATCAGGGGTCATTTTAGGAGGGGTAGAGTAGGTCTCTGCAGACCTCAGCTCCGGGGCTCCACACGCAGCCAAAGTCCGCCCTCCGCACGCATGACCAGCTCCGGCTTCCTGAGGGGCTCGGTGTGGTCCAGCAGGACGCGGAAGCGCAGCAGCGTGAGCGCCAGCACCACCTTCATCTCCGCCATCGCGAATGCCTGCCCGATGCAGTTCCTAGGGGAGGGAGGTGGGAACTCACACTGCAACCAAGAACCCCATCCTGGCCCCATCAAGCCGGGAACTTGGCCTAGGTCAGTCAATTCCACCTAGATCAGCTTGAGGAAGAGAGGCTGGGGGAGGTCTACGTGCCTGGAGTCCCATGTGGGCTTGCATATCCTGCAGGCCTAGCCCAGAGCCAGCCCCCAGCCCAGACCAGGTGGGGTGGGAGCGGGCTCTGAGCAACCCATAGGGCTTCCTAGCACCAACCCAACCCTATTCTGTGGACCTTTTCCCGTAAACTCCAGAGGAGGGGAGGGAAGGAGAGCTGGAACTCGGACCATCTACAATGTCCTCCTTTTCCCCACTGTCATGCCCAGACCCCCGTACCCATCACCCTGTCCCCGCCTCAGACACAGGCCGCCCTTACCTAGGCCCTGCCGAGAAGGGAATAAAAGCCAGAGGTGACCTCTCCTTGCTGTTCTCCGGGTCGAAGCGGAAGGGGTCGTAGACCTGGAGGTGAGACCAAGGAGGCTTGCTGGGTGGGGTCTCCCAGGACCGCCAGCCTTGGGGAGACAGACAGTTGTGTGTGTCTTGGAGGGAGGTGATGTTGGATTCTCCTGATCAAAACCCTGCCCCCTCCTCTAGGAGCCTTGAAATGGACAAAAACGGGGGGCTGTGGGGGAGGGAGCGTGGAGCACCTCAGGGTCTGGCCACACAGCTGGGTTGTGATGGGTTCCGAAAACACTGATGAGGCAGATAACGCCTGTGGGAGAGAAGAGGGCAGTTAGGACAAGGCCCCCCTGCCTGAGGGGCCCATCTTCCTACCCAGGAGTCTCCTCCCCCCGAGGCTGTGGGCACCTTTGGGGATGACCCGGCCGTCTGGGACCACAATGTCCTGTGTGACATGGCGGGAGATGACCGGGACCGGGGGATGCAGCCGCAGGCTCTCCTTCACGCACATGGTCAGGAAGGGCAGCTGCGCCAGGTCATCCCTAAGGAAACACCCCAGCCCCAGTCATTATCGAGGGAGCAAAGACACAATTCTCCAGCTTCTCTGTGTGCGAGTGAGACCTTTTCTCCCTGTCACAAAATCAACTTTCAGAAAGAATTGTTACAAAGTCGCAGGAATAAAAATAGTGTGACACTGTTGCAAAAACAGGAAAATAGACCCATGGAACAGAACAGAGGGCTCAGAAAGAGACAGGAGAGTAAGTGAAAACTTTACATTTGATCAAGAGAGCCCCCGCCCAAAACAAAATCCTGGGAAACTGATGGATTTCATGGTTGTGAAAGAAAAGTGTGGACCAACTGAAATTCACAGAAGTTGAATGGTCGCTGTGCACATATGCTGACTGCCTCATGTCCACTTTTAGCAAAAGGGTGGGAACAAGCCACATATACACTGATGGGAAGATGTTTAGGTAAGCATCCACACAGTGGAATACTATACAGCTACAAAAAAACGAGGAAGTAGGGATCACATACCACAGGCTAGAAGGCAAATCAGTGTGGACACTTTGGAAGGCCAAATGGAAATATCTACTGTAATTGAAAACGTGTATGTGTCTTCAACATAGGAATGGATTGAATAAAATAAGGAATCAAATATTCAGCGCTCAGAAAAAAATAGCAATAAGATACATTGTTGAGTGAAAAAAAGTTACAAATACATACACATGTACATGTAAAAGGGCAAAAAATATGTGGATATATATTTATGAAAATGAATGATTTAGAGAAAGATGATGGCTTGATAGAGGATAGATGATAGATACATACATATATACATAGATGAAAGATACAGAGACACATAGATAGATGACAGAGAGATAATAGATAATAGATATACAAAGATAGATAATAGATACATAGATAAAAGACAGATACAGAGATATGTAGATGATAGATAGATGATAGATATAGAGAGACAGATAATAGATACATATATACACAGATGATAGATACAGAGATACATAGATGATAGATAATAGATTATATAGAAAGATAGATAATAGATACACAGATAATAGATACAGAGATATGTAGATGATAAATAGATGATAGATGTAAAGAGATACATAATACATAGATGATACAGAGAAAAATAGATGATAGATAGATAATAGAAACATTTGTATGTTTCTTAGACGAAAACATACAAATGGCCAACAGGTAGATGGAAAAAAACCCAATGTCACTAATCGTCAGAGAAATGGAAATTAAAACCACAACGAGATAGCATCTATCTATTATCTGTCCATGATCTATCTATTTACTCTCTTAGCAATTTCAACTAATACAATACATTGTTCACAATACATTGTCTCACGTAAGCCAGGCTCAGAAACACAAACACACATGATCTTACTTATCTTGGGACCTAAAGTAGTCGAGCTCATAGAAATAGGAGTAGAATGGTGGTTACCAGAGGCCAGGGCTAGGGGAGGGACAGGGAAGGGTGAGATGATGGTCAAAGGGCAGAAGCTTCAGTTAGACAAGACGGATACGTTTTTGAGACCTGCTGCACAGCGTGGCGCCTTTAGTGAACAATGTATTGTATTAGTTGAAATTGCTGAGAGAGTACATTTCAAATGTTCTCAACACAGAGATGATAAATATATGAAGTGATGGATTTGTTCATTACCTTGATTTAATAATTTCAGGTTGTATACATGCATCATAACAGCACATTATACCTCTAATACATATTATTAAAATGTATCAATGAAAGAACAAATTTTAAAACAAACTATTTTTCCAAAACTCATATTTTGAGAAAAATAAGATCTCAGATATAATGTGCAGACCTGCCATCTATTTCATAGTTTTATTTACAAAGAAAAATACAATGTGTGTTCACATAAATAAAAAACATAGTGTGAGTTCATATAAATGTGGGCATCAAAATAGCCATTTTCTGGAAGAATACACAGAAAACTATTGACTGGAGTCACTGCTAAGGTGACTTCTTAAAAAGAAGGCTCATTTTTATGATAAAAATTTTTGAACCCTTTCTTTTAACCAAATGCATCATTCTGCTTGAAATCTGGGTTTTACACTCCAGGACATGGCTCTGGGCAGAGATTTTCTGTGTAAGACCTCAAAAGCACAAGCATGTGAGAAATCAGATCACATCAAGGTAAAAAGCTTCTACGCAGCAAAGGGAACAATCAACAAAGTGAAGAATCAACCCACAGAATGACAGAAAACATTCGCAAATTAACCACCTGACAAGCGGATAATAGCCAGAATATTTAAGCAGCTTTAACAACTCAATAGGAAAAAAAATCTGATTTAAAAATGGTCAAAAGATCTGAATAGACATTTCTTAAAAGAAAACATACGTGGCTCACACCTGTAATCCCAGCACTTTGGGAGGCTGAGGCAGGCGGATCATGAGGTCAAGAGATCGAGACAATCCTGGTCAACATGGTGAAACCCCATCTCTACTAAAAATATAAAAATTAGCTGGTTGTGGTGGCGCCTGCCTGTAGTCCCAGCTACTCGGGAGACTGAGGCAGGAGAATTGCCTGAACCCAGGAGGCGGAGGTTGCAGTGAGCCGAGATCGCGCCATTGCACTCCAGACTGGGTAACAGGAGCNTATACATCTAACAAAAGGCTAATATCCAGAATCTGCAAGGGACTCAAACAAATCAGCAAGAAAAAGACAAATAATCCCATTAAGAAGTAGGGAAAAAAAAAAAAAAAAAAAAACTAAAAAGAAAACATACAAATGATGTACCCTCCGTCCCAAAAAAAAAAAAAAAAAAGAAAACATACAAATGGCCAACAGGTAGATGGAAAAATGCTCAATGTCACTCATTGTCAGAGAAATGCAAGTGAAAACCACAATGAGATGTCATCTCATCCCAGTTAAAATGGCTTTTATCAAAACAACAGGCAGTGACAGATTCTGGTGAGGATGTGGAGACAGGGGGCTGGCTCTCACACTGTTGGTGGGAATATAAGTTAGTACAGCCACTCTAGAGAACAGCACAGAGGTTCCTCAAGAAACTAAAACTAGAACTACCATAAAACCCAGAAATTCCACCACTGGGAAAGAATGAAAATAAATTTCTTTTTTTCTTTTCTTTTTTTTTTGGCACAGAGTCTCGCTCTGTCACCAGGCTGGAGTACAGTGGCGCGATCTCAACTCACTGCAACCTCTGCCTCCTGGGTTCAAGTGATTCTCCTGCCTCAGTCTCCCAAGTAGCTGGGACTATAGGCGTGTGCCACCACGCCCAGCAAATTTCTGTATTTTTAGTAGAGACAGTGTTTCACCATGTTGGCCAGGATAGTCTTGATCTCTTGACCTTGTGATATGCCTGCCTCTCCAGGACCAGCTGTAGAATGTATTGTAATTTTGTTTACAAAGAAAAATAAAGAAACAACTCTTCCTTCCCTCCCTACTTGGGTAGCAGAGCCAATGAGAGGAGCTCAGGAACAGCCACCAGCACCTGCACTCACCCTCCACACTAGCCCTAGAAAGAGCTTCCTGGTACTCAGATCTGACCTGTCTCTCTCCTGCTGAAACACTTCCCATGGATCCCTATTGCCCTTGGGTTAAAACTGAACACATTAACATTTTCCCCAAGGCTTCTGCAGACAGCCCCTGCTACTATCTCCAGTTTCATCATCTCACTACGACCCAGTCTCTCCCTCTCTCTCCCTTTCTCCTTCTCCTTTCTGCTCCTACCCTTCTCTCTGTCTGTCTCTCTCTCTCTTTCTTCCTCTCTCTCTCTCTCTCTTCCTCCCCTGAAGACCCAAGGCAGTCTTGTTGAACTAGAGCACTGTTCCCCAACTGTACCCAATTATCTACTGATCATTATTCAGGCTCTCAACTGAGACAGTTTCTATACCCCCAGGCATGCTTCTGTTACTGTAAGCCCCATCACTGCCCATGTGGGCTGCGAGTGTCCTGACCAGGGACAGTTCCCCCACCAGGCTGGGAGCACGTGGAAAACAGAGCCCTGGGTTGGGTCCTTCCCAGGTCTCCAGAGCACAGAAAGATGCTGTGCGCAGACTTAGAGATGGAATGCAGTGTTGGAGCGTTTGCTGAACGAGGACTGGAAAGATGAATGGTGCAGGTGTTCCGGACAAGAATGGATGACATTTACCCCCAGGTCTGCCTTATAACTCCCGGGACTGGACAGGAGGGTAGGAATTAGGCAACAGCAGAGCAAACACTCAAGAAGTGAAGATGTTCAAAAAATTTATATTATTTCTGGGAGAAAAGGAAGAGAGTGGACGGGAAGTTCGTTTGCTGAACATGGGCTAAGTGGCGTTATCTGTCCTCACATATCATCACCAATTCTCTCAGCAGCTCTCACTCCTAAGGGCTTGCAACCTTTACCCTGACAGTCAGGTGGGAGCCCTGCCTGTGGTCCTCTGCTCCTGCGCCCACTAAGCAATAGTGGCTGAATCAACTCTTCCTCCCCTCCCCACCTGGAGAGCAGAGCCAATGACAGGGGCTCAGGAACAGCCACCAGCACCCTCACTCACCATTCAATCTCTTTAGGCTCACGGTCCTTCAGAAGCTCTTGCACCTCCTGCCTGCAGCGCTCCTGGTATTCTGGGTGCTTTGCAAGGTGGTAGAGGACCCAGGAGAGACCACTGGCCGTGGTGTCATGGCCTGAGGGGCAGCAAGACAGGATTGGGTTTCTGGGCTGCTTCAGCACCTGAAGGTGGACAGCACCCACACACTGAGGACCTCAGGGAGGATGGGGGAGGGGGCATGGGAAGACTGAGGGGGTCCGGCCACTAGATTCCTGGAATGGAGAGATCCCGGCCCCCCTAGAGCCCCACAGTGGGACCCTCACCCTCAAACATGAAGGTGTCAGCTTCTGCTCTTATGTCTTCATCAGACAACTCCTTCCCATCTTCATCCTGGAGAGAAGGCAATAATCCCCCCCAAGCAGCCCATCATAAAAAGTCACACCAGCTCTGAAGGCTCTTGAGTCTTATTGAGACAATCTCTGAAGATTCATCCTCTTTCCAGAAACCCCAGTCCATCTTGCACTCCTAGACCCCACCTGGTCGTCATGGCCAGAGCCCCCACCCCATGGGCTTCCTCCCTGGCTTCCTTGCCTCCTCTTGGGTCCCTATTGGGAAGACTCAATGACCCATGAATGCTTTCCTGTTTCTGCATGATGACGATTTTCTGAGAAAATTCTACTGGCAACCTGGGTTACAGGATAATTAAATGCCAATTTGCCTTGCAAATTAGAGATTAAGTATTGCTCCAAAGATATTTGCTCACATTCTAGAGTGGTAAATCCAGAGAATCTTATTTCTCTGGAGACATTTGGGTTGTAAGTCTATGGACTACTTGGGGATGGAGAGTCAGTGCCACAATTCTAGTCTGGCTGATAGTATTGCTGTGAGCAAGACATGGGCTGCTCTGATCTAGAGGTTTAATGCATCTGTCACAATAGGCATACACATAGACACAGACACAGACACACATAGACAAAGGCATAGACTTAGAAACCGACCCAGACACACACATTCACACAGACACAGACACACACACACACACACAAACATAAACATAGACAAAGACATAGACATAGAAACACACAAACGCAAACACTCATAAACATAGACAAAAACAGACGCAGGCACAAACAGAGATATAGATGTGGCACTGACACAGACATAGCCGTAGGTGAAGACATAGTGATAGACACAGAGAAAAAGCACGGACACAGTCATACACTGAGACAAACACACAAACACATTGACACAGATACGGACACAGATGTGCATATAGACATAGACATGGATGAAAATATAGACAAAGACAAAGACATGAACATAGACACAGAAAGACAGGATAAGCCAGGCGCGGTGGCTCACGCCTGTAATCCCAGCACTTTGGGAGGCCAAGGTGGGCAGATCACCTGAGGTCGGGAGTTCAAGATCAGCCTGATCAACATAGATAAACCATGTCTCTACCAAAAATACAAAATTAGCTGGGTGTGTTGGCTCATGCCTGTAATCTCAGCTAGTCAGGAGGCTGAGGCAGGAGAATCGCTTGAACCCAGGAGGCGGAGGTTTCGGTGAGCTGAAATGGCACCATTGAACCCAAAAAGGGGCAAAAAGAGAAAAAAAAAAAAAAGAAAAAAGAAAGAAAAGAAAAGTCAGGACAAAGGCACAGAACAGATAAAGACAAGGACGCAGATACAGACAAAGACATATGATATGGTCAGTGACAAAGGCAGACGTAAACATAGCATAGTCATAGAGACACAAACTCAAACAGACAAAGATATAGAAAGACACAGGTACAACATAAACATAGACCCAGCCATAGATATAGAGGTAGATGTATAAATTAAAATGTGGCCAATTAGCTCATTGACTTGTAATAGAGCAAACCCTCAGACGTGTCAGTTTCAAACCTAGCAGTTTCCTGCTAAGTGCACTCCACAGAGTCATCTCTAAAACCTGTCTCTGATGTGTCCCTCGCTTCCTCAGTCACCTTCCATGGCTCCCCAGCGCCCTTTGGATCAAGTTCAATTCTTTCATGCGACATTTTGCATAAAGCTCCCTTCTGCTTCTTGAATTCAGGTCCCAGAGAAGCCCACCTTGCTCAGCAGGAGCACATCAATGAAGTCCAGAGTCTTGGACTTGGCCTTGGCTTGGAGGACGTCGTCAACACCCTGGCTAGGGAGGGTGCGGCGCCGCTCCTGGATGACGGCGTCTGTGAAGTCGTGCACCAGGCGGCAGGCCCTGCGGAAGCGCCGTCCATCGGGAGTGAGATAATACAGGAAGTCCAAGTGCAGGGGGATCTCATGATGTCTTTTTGACACAAGGGCACTGAGCTCCAAGATGGCAGCGATATATTCACTGGACTTCCTGCAGGATAAGGGGGGAAAGGGAGACAACAGTTTAAGACACCTGAAACCCCAGGAGCACCTCCCACCAGCAGCCAGGAGCTACCTCCTATCAGCAAACACAGTATCCAGGAACAGATGACCCCTCCCATACAGGGTGGGGATCAGCATGAGACTGACCCTCCAAGCTCTCTTCTCTCCCTGCATCCCATCTCTGTGAGATGCCTCCATGCCCCGAGGCACCCAGAACAACTTGCACATTCTACTCCTCTCTCCCTCCCAGTACAGTCCTGCCCCTTCTCCTTCTTGAAACTGTCCACAAATCTTAGAAGGTATTCCCCTCCACCTGGTCCATGGTCCAGCCTCCACACTAGCCTCTTTGCATCCATTTTAAGTCCATTTAGCACTGCATGACAGTCAGTCCCTGACAGAGACCCACTCTGACTATACCCACCAGTTCAAACCCTTTCAATGGCTCCCTAGAAAACTCAAAATAAAGTTCATGCCAGTCCTTCAATGATCAGCTATAACAAAACTCCTCCAGGAAGGTTTTTCTGATGTCCATGCTCAGTCCTCCCTCCCCCACCTGCCCACCTGGGGTCCATGTCCCAAGATCCCAGACCCTGGGCAAGAACTCACTCCTGACAATTGCTGTCAAAGCTGAAGACACATTTCTGCAGGCTGTCCAGGGTCATGAGGCTGATGTGCTCAAACATGTCCAGACGGGCACTGCCCTCTGAGGCCAGGCGCTGCCACTTGGCCTACTCAGAGAAGGGGAGAGAGCTGGGTCCCTTGCTTCCTTGAGCATCTCTCAAACCCCAACCACCAAGGGGGACCCCCCAGAATAAGCCTCTTTATCTTCTCCCCAGGGACCCCTTTCCAGGGAGGAGTTTAAGGTGGGGGCAAAAGCTGTTACTATTAAGAGATGAAGACCCAAGATTGGGAGTCAAGAGACCTAGGTTCAAGTTCCAGCTCTGCCTCCTGTGCTCCGTGTGCCGTTAGTCAGCTCCTTACCCTCCCCTACATCCCACCTGTCAAATTCTCAGGAACAGTTAAGATGATGTGCTTTGGAGCCATATAATTCATGTAAGAAACTCTGCTCCACCATGCCAAGCTCACTCATTAGCTGGGTGAGCTTGAGTTAGCTCCCAAATCTCTCAGACCTGCAGTTTTATCTTCTACCATGGGGCAGAAATACATAATCTCTCCTTCACAGAGTTTTTAAAATCAAATTACAAAATATATGCTCATATCTTGGAATGGGCACATGGCATTGTTTCTGGCATATGGTGAGTGCTTAATAAATGTTGGATTTCCTCATCTACTTTGTTACAAATTGTTGGAAACAGATGCTCAGTGCCACAAAGAAAACTCAGCACTGAGACAAAGGATCTGTCAGCAAGCAAATTTTACTTCCTGTAGGAAGGGTAGCCTTGCAAGCCATCTTGCCATGAGAATACAATGAACAAGATAAAAGCAGACATATCCATCCCTTATGCATTTGGGGTTGTCCTTACTTCTGTGTCTGATCTCTGTTTGTTGGAGCCAGAGCTTACAATCTAAACTAAAACTCGATTGGCTAATAACTTAAAACTTTTTTAAACAGGTAAGAGGCATAGGTTGCAAGCTGGGACATGGCTGTGAGCCCATCCAGCGCAGATATCTTGGTTAAAGTACAAGGACATAGAATATACTACATGCCTATAAGCATGGCATGTTTAACAGATACAGAGGATAGGACTTAACAAAGAGTTAATAGCAAATTCGTTCTTTAACAGGAAAGGAAACTTTGAAGAGGAACTTTTACTTCCCACATCAATTGATTTCGAAAATATCCCTGTTTTGGAAGAGGCAGTCTTCCATGACTCCTGGGCATCCTTCCTGGACATGTCATGAATGCAAGATACTGAAGTCCTTAACATGGAAAATTTCTTACAGTTGTGTTTGCAGAGAATAACTCAGGGATAAGGTAATGACTCCCCTGGACATGTCGCTTTTGCTTGCTATGAAGCAGATTCCCTAAGCTTAATGCTCCTTTGCTGTAATGCAATATATTATGTCAGCAGGCGTTTATAGAAGCACACCTGTGTCAGCCCATAGGATTTGGGAAGCTTGGAGAAAAAAATGCAGTCTAACAAGAAACACATGCTGCTCTCTGTGTCATGAGTAGTAAACTATCCTTTTTCTCTGAACCAGGAGTCTCTTGACTTTCTGGAAGAATTTATGAAACGATAACAAGCTAACTTATCAATTTACAAATTTTTTTTAAAAACCCTAGACACGTCACAAAACCTTCGCCCCAATTCTTTCCTTCCCCCCATATCCACACCCTTTGCAATGTGATTTTTCAGCAACTCCCATGAATAGACACAGCCTATTTTACCCCCCGCCTTTGATTCTGTGTTGGACTTTAGGTTTTCGATGTCAAAATGCAATGTGGTGAAAATGATGAGGAAATAACTAATGAAGCTGGGCCTTGTCTCATTCCCTGGAAACCTGCCTGCATTGTGAACCATGGAGTGCCTACTGGAAGGAGACAATCACAGAGAGGAATATCCAGGGGTCCCAGCTGAGGCCAAACCCAGACATGTGAGAGAACCCAATCATGTCCCAGGTAAAACTCAAACATGTGAGAGAATTCAGCCAACACCTGCAAGGCTGCCTACCTGACCAGTACCATGAGCGATCCCTTCCACATCCAGACTTATTAGCAATCATAAATCCTTATTGTTTTAAACCACTGCGTTTTCAAGCAGTTTCTTACTCAGTACCAGCTGCTATGCAATTGTCGTCATGACCCTCTTCAGTTTACAGGGCTTGGAAGATGGAAACATAGAAACAGGTACCTTCTGGTCACCTACCGTGCACCAGGGACGAGACTCCATTACATCACCTCGACCATCTCCTTAAGTAGGGATTATTTTCCCCATTTTACAGATGAGGAAACCAAGGCTCAGAGGGGAAGAGCAATGGCCCAATGCCACCCAGCAGAGCCAAAATTCCAGACCACATCTGTCTGTGGTCCCCCCACCCCAAGGCCGGGACCCTGGTTTCAAAGAACTCACGTGCATGATGTTCACGCTCTCATTGAAAATCTTCATGTAGGGCTTCAGGATGTTGAAGTGGAAGGCGGGCGTCAGCATCCGGCGGTGGCGGCTCCACTTGTCACCGGCGCTCAGCAGGAGCCCGTCCCCTGGCAGGGCAGCCAAGGGTCTTGGGTCAAGGGCAGCACCCTCCCTTGGCCCCCCAGGTTGTTCCCAACCCTGTTCACCTGCAGATACTCACCCAGCCAGGGCTTCAGGAAGCTGTAGAAGAACTTGTCCTTTGGTGCAATGGTGGCTGACATAAATGAGGACATTCAGGGGCCATGAGGCAGGAAAAGGAGGGATATTGGGGGTGGGGGGAGGCTCCCAGCCAGAGGTTTGCACTTCTCCACCTCCAAGCCCCGCATAGCAGGAAGGGAGCCAAGGGCAGAGGAAGAAGGGAGGATGGGGGAGGGGAGGAGAGCAGCCCAGGCTAAGGCAGTAAGTACAGCACAGCAATGACGCTGCCTAACATGGCACGGAGGAGCCACGTCAGGGCTCTAGCACACCTCGACATGCCTCCTACATGATCCAACGTGTTCTGCAACCCCTGAGCATAGCTCAGCACTCTGCAAAATGCCTTCACAAGGACCTAGGATGCCCTGTCCGCCCCAGCACTCTCTGACATCTTCTGACAAGTCATCTTCTGACACGGACCTGGGACATGGAGCATGACCCCGACATGTGCTCACAAGTCCTCACATGGTCACAAAACACATCACAATTCCCCACAAGAGACAGCATGCTCTGACATGCACATCAGATGCTCTAACACGGCCGTAAATGTGTGCTCCACACACAGGCTCCAGGTAGAAGATAAATACGGTAACTTTAATGTCCCAGACATAGCCCACATGTGACCCAGATGGTTCCTCAGGCATGACCCAAACATACTATAACACATGCCTTGGAAAAGACTCAAATACTGTCTCAGACAGTTCATGTAGGGACCGTGAGTCCCAGACCTCACACAAGCTCCAAACATGGCCCAGATGTGACCAGCGGGAGAAAATGACAATGTCAAACAGCATCTCAGACGACAGCTAGATGGGCCTCACATGCCCCAAATGTCCTTGGTCACAGATGAGCCCGCACGTGACCAGCTCTACATGACCCCGGTTGTAATGCTATACCAGATGTAACCAGGCATAACATCTTTCAGACGTGACCAGGACCCAGGTGTAAGTACACACGTGACAAGACGTGGCCATACAGCAGACCTGACCATACAACAGCCATCAGAAAGACACGCCCCAGACATGAGCAAACAGGAACAGAGGTCAGACAGGTGGAAGTCCAGGGGAGACAGAGGCAGTGGCATCTCCACCACGGCCCCTCCTGTCTGCACGTGGGCACGGGACCAGCTGGAGGCAGCACAGAGACCCCAGCTGTGGGCAAAGCATGGCCAGCACGGTATCTACCTGGAGCACAGAGCACAGGCTTGATGCAGGTGGGGTGGAAGATGCGGACGATCGCGTGCCAGGGCCCCACCCACCAGCAGCACGCATCCCCAAAGGTGCGCGCCAGGCTTTGTGTGTAAAGGAGACCTTTCTCCGAGCTGTGAATCTGGAGAAAAACACACAGGACCCGGTTCATGCTCTCCTGGGCTGTCAGAGAGAACGCTCTGCAGGGAAGAGGTCGAGGCCCTCGCCCTGAGAGTTTCCAGCGGCATCTCATCCTCCCCTCAGTGCCGAGCCCCATGAGCTTCCTGCTCACATCCTCCATGCAGGGCTCTCCAGTCCCTTAGTGACACAGACAGAAAAGGTCTTTCCCCATGTGGAGCCACACACCACGTTCCCTGGGTGTGTTCATCCCATTTTCCAGATGCAGAGACTGAGGCTCTGGATGATAAAAGTCACTACCCACAGTCCCAGACCATAAGCCTGAGGCCTGAGGCTGGGTCTGTCTGCATCCATGGCCTGAGTCCTTAACCATCAAACTTCTTTGTGTCCCCAAAACAGTAGCTGTGGAAGCCTCAGACCTGCCAAGGTTGGGCCATCAGAGACACAGGGACTGGAGGAAAAATTGGTCCTGTGACCCAGGCCAGGACAAGTAAATCACAGGCCATTTCTGGGAACTCTGGGGGAAACGTGGGCTTTCCCATGGGAACTGAGCTTCTGGGACTCATCCTTGACGTCATGAGGAAAAGGCTGCCATGAAAGGAAAAGTGAAGTGGAGAAAGCTAGAGCCAAGAGACGAAGAGAGATTCCCAGTGACATTGTATGAGATCTGGATCCAGCCATGCCTGAAGGCCACCCTCCCTGGACTTTAAAGTCAATAGATTCTCCTTCGTTACTTAGACCACACCAGGTTGGGTTTCCACCACTCACAACTGAAAAAGACCTCAATAACCAGAGACAGCTGGGAACAAGCCCAAAGTCATTCAGCATTTTGAGGTCAGACCCACGTTCTCTGTAGGATGCTGCCCATTCCCCTGCTTGGCCTGGCCTGTCCAAAGATGGGAAGCACAGAGGTCAAGGAAAGGGTCCCAAGCTGGGGGAGAGTCTCTTTTTGGAGATTCCTAGGGCCTGCAACAGGAGAGCAATGAACTTAGAGCAGACAAGCTATAGGATGCAGTAGAAGGAATTGACACCCCAGGGGTGGACATCAAGGAATTGGCTGCTGGTATCCTCCACCAGCCACAAGTCCTCCTCATTGTTCAGGGCTTTGGGACAGGCAAGGTGATGCTAGGCCTGGCACGGGACCTTGAATACTAACGATGCCCAATTGCATCACCCCACACTCTCCTTTCAAACATTCCTACTCATTGTTCCAGACACAGCTCCAGCAACTCCTCCTCCAGGAAGCCTTCCCAGCTGTCCCAGAGGAGACCTTGTTCTTCTCTGGGCTGTCATCCATCTCCCTCTGGCCCTTTCCTGACCCCATGAAGTTGGGGATGTCTCTGTGAAAATCCATCTCCTTAAGCTTGGGGGTTCCTGCAGGACAAGGCCTTGGGTTGAGGTCTCTTGGGATCCCAGGGCAGCCCAGAGCACCAGAACGGGGAGTCAGAGAGCAATGGAGAGAGGAGACGCTGAGATGGGAACTGGTGAATACGAGAAAGAAAGAGGAAGATGGCTGAGAGAGAAGGAAAGGAGAGGCCCGAGTACCTCAGGGGCCACACAGGAGCTTGGAGATAGAGGGACTTGCAGGCTTCAAACGCACCACAGCACCCACCACCAGGTGTTCCAGGTGGTACCTGAGGCGTTGACGACAGGCCGGATGATGTCAGGGTGGCACAAACTGAGGAGGGGGATGAAGGGGCCCATCCAGACCCTGAAGCCCTGGGAGTAGGTGGCCACCAGCTGAGACAGAACTCTCATGCCCTCCTCTGTGGGGTTGACCTGCAAGCAAGGCAGGGGCTGTCATCTCCTGTGATGGTTAATTCTAGGTGTCCACTTGACTGGGCTAAGGGATGCCCAGATAGCTGATCTAACATTATTTCTGGGCGCGTGTGTGAGTCTGTCTAATCTATTCATTCTATCTATGTAATTTCTCTATCTGCCTACCCATCCATCCATCAATCCATCCTATCTCTACATTCCTCCGTCCATCCATTTATCCCATTATCTATCTATCATCTGTTAATAGCTATCTATCCATCACATATATCTACTCTATCTACCTAATCTATGATCTTATCTACTCTATCCATCCATCCATCCATCCATCCATCCACCCACCCACCCTGTCATCTATCTATCTATCTCTACCTAATCTATCCATCCTATCTACTCTGTCTATCCTTACATCCATCCATCCATCGACTCATCCATTATCCATCCATCCTATCTGTGCATCCATGTATCCACGCATTCATTTATCCTACTGTCAATCTTTCTACCAACCTATTCATCATCCGTTCATCCATCCTATCTGTGTATCTATCCTATTCTTTCTTTCTATCTGTCTATCTATCTATCTATCTATCTACATTCCTTCTGCTCTATCTCTCTTGAGGCCATCTCCAAGTCCCAAAGGTGCATCCCAGGGCAGAGGGCGAAGACACTGTCTGCTCACAGAGGGCCACTTAACTTGAGAGGAAATATTTTCTTGTTCTGGGAGTCATGTCAGCCCAGAGGCAGCCATATGAGGAGGTCCTCACACGGGAGATTTGTGGGGAACAGTATGGCCTCAGGACATGTCCCTAAGGCTGGTCCCCACATCCCTTCATGTCCTGGCTGGTCCACACAGGTTCAAGTTCCTCCCATGGAGAGCGTTCTGCACACAGGGTACCCTCCTTCTCAGCAGCCACTAGGGGGCAGAGGTAACTCTAACTGTCCATCAGGACAGTGGCTCCCACCCGGGAGCAGCTTCTGCACCAGGCTCTGTGCTAGTGCGTCCTGTGCACCCTTCCACTTCACCTGATGAATTGACACGTCCATCGATCCTGCCATTGGCAGTGAGTGGACTGAGACCACATCTCCCAAAGGGGAGAGCAGGTCTAAGCCAGAGGGCAAGGTCCGGGGGAGGAGGAAGGTCAGGGGAGGCTTCTGACAGGGGAAGTGAGTGGCCAACTTTTATCTGGGTTTGGCAACAGGACTTATTGGGACATCTCACTGGGGAGGAACAAGATAAGAGGAAGGTGCTTCCGGATGTGGTGGAGGTGGGAGACAGCCCACACCTCTCCTCTGGCCCAGCTGTACCCTCATCCCAGGACATAGGCCAGGCAGGGAGAGGACCCCGGACAGTGGAGAATGTGGGAATGCCAGGGGCTCGCCTCTCTGTGCACTGAAGCCCCTGCCCAGGAGCCCCGCAGAGGGGAACTAATGTGGAAACACAGGCAGGAAAAGGATTCAGTGCAGGCTAGGAGTGGGGGGACAATCGGCGAGGAGGGCTTGGGGTGGCATAGCACAGAAATGAGTGAACAAGCAGAGGAATGAGTAGGACGCCTCCCCTGCTCCTCTGCGACCTCAGATCCCAGCCCACCGCCTCACCGCAACTCACTGAGCCCTGTTCTTACCCCTCAGGAAGTCCATCCACCCTGAGACCCCAGACCCAGCCTGCTGCCACACTCACCAGGCCCAGGTGACCCACGAACCAGTTCCGTTTTGGAGGCTGCGGGAAACACTGGAGCCGGCGGCACTTGTCGTAGAAGGTGTAGGTCCAGGCCAGGACACGGGCCAGCAGCCAGGAGGCCCCGACCAGCAGCAGGAGCAGCCACGGGGATGCTGCCACCGGCCCGAGGCCCAGCCAGGACAGGCTCAGCTGCGACATCCTGAGGGGGGACGGATGGAGGGTGAGGTCCTGAGGCCCAGGGAAGAGCTGGAGGAGCTCAGGGGACAGCGGAGAGGGGCAGGGACGGGCAGTGCTGGAGGTAGAGCAGGGAGGCTCAGGGATGGGTAAACGGGCCAAGAAATAAAGTTCAGAAAGGCCCAGCAGCCCAGTGGCCTCCAGTGACCTGGTAAGCACTGAGAATGGGAGAGAGAGACACACAGAGGCTGATTAAAATCCAGAAATGCCCAGGCTGAATCACTGGGAGGTTGCCAGGGGTTTGGTTTCAGTTACCAGGAAACCACCCCTCCTCCAGGCCAGCACCCGGGAGCTGCCTGGGCCTTGGGCAATGCCCCTCTCCATCCCCGGCTAGGCCCCCGAGGCCCGCAACCCCCAGCCAGGCACCTTCTGTCAGGAGCAGCCTGTCTCACACAACCTCCTCTCTCCCTCTGCTGGGAGGCGTTTGACCCTGGCCCTTGATGTAGGGAAGGCTGCGGGAGGCTGGGCTGGGCTGGGCTGGGCCAACCAATCCCCACAGCCTGGGTGCCTCTCCCATGCCTGGGCAGCCAGCCAAACCTGGCATCAGGCCAGCTGGGTGCAGAGGAACACGCTCAGGGTCTGGAGGAATGGGTACATGGAGAGAGTAGATATATATGATGGATAGATTATACAGATGGATAGATGGTGATCGATAGATAGATAGATAGATAGATAGGTAGGTAGATAGGTAGGTAGGTAGATAGACAGGATAAATAGACAGATGAACTTACAGATAAGATGGACTGATGGATGGATGGGCAGGCAGATAGAAATATAGATAGAGAAATTAGAGAGATTGGATGAATAGATTAGACAGACATACCCAGAAATAATGTTCCATTTCTGCCCAGATATGTGGGATCCTCATTTGTGACATGGGAACTGGGGATCTTGGGTCACCCCAATCACTCCATGTGCTACATGGAGATGCTACAAAGCCCATGACTTAGTACAAAGCTAGGAACATGACCATCAGAAACAGGATCAGAGTCACTCTCAGGCAAAAACAAACAAACAAACAAAACCCTCCAAGGATTAAATGTTATTTCCCATTGTCCTGGGGAGAAATTAATTCAAGGGAGGCCCCAGGGCAGGGAATTCCCCACCAGCACCATGGGCATACCATCACCCCTGCAGTTTTCTGATTTACTCTTTGGCCCCTTAAACATGAACTTTCTTATGCCAGGTTTCCTTCTGATAAGGGAGAAGAGATAAGTATCTCTACCTTTCCTCTCCTCCTCCTGCCTGGTCTCTGTATTCCAGTTAACCTATAATTTATGTGGAGGATTTACAATGGTTGACACACCTAGCTGAGCCTTCTGCACGGAGGTAAATGAGAGTGGAGGCTAACTGGGTGAAAGGAGAAACGCCATAAGCCCACACTCCAGTCTATGAGGTGGATTAAAGATCTACCTTGCCCAACTCTTGCCTCACCTGCTCCGTGGTCTGAGTAAAAGTTTGGGTCCCAGGACTTTGAGGTTGAGCGAAGCCTTCCAGCCCCACACCTGCAGCACAGTCTGCAGCTCACTCTGCTCTGAGCTGCCCCAACTTTGCACGGATATTCTCCATTCCTCAAAAGGAAACTGCACCCTTCAAAGCTCACACATTTCTCTTCCTGGCTCAGCACAGGGAGCTTATTATGAAATAACACAGTGGAGAAGGGAACCCAGGCAGCTGGGCACAAAAGGGAATGGGCAACAAGCTTCCTCTCTGAGCATGATTTTCTGTGTAACGTCTTGGACACTCCCTGGACGGCTCCCAGCCATCTGCCTCTCGCCAGGTTTCCAGTTAACTTAGAATAAAAAAAAAAAAAAAAAATCTCACATCTTCCTCCTAGGCGTAACTGTGGTAATTTGAACTTAGGCAGTTGTGCTTGAGAAGCTTCTTAATATCCCATGGCAAGCTCATTCCCCAATGCTTTAATTTTACTTCACTTGAATTTTTATTTACTTATTTTGTTTTTTTGAGACAGAGTTTCGCTCTTGTTGCCCAGGATGGAGTGCAATAGTGCAATCTCCGCCACCGCAACCTCTGCCCCCTGGGTTCAAGTGATTCTCCCACCTCAGCCTCCTGAGTAGCTGGGATTACAGGCATGCATCACCATGACCAGCTAATTTTGTATTTTTAGTAGAGACGGGGTTTCTCCATGTTGGTCTGGCTGGTCTCGATCTCCCAACCTCAGGTGATCCACCTACCTCGGCCTCCCAAAGTACTGGTAATACAGGCATGAGCCACCACATCTGGCCTTGAATTTTTATATTAAACATTGGATTGATCAAGAACAGAGAGGAGAATCACAATTATTGAGTAGATGCTCCTTCCAAACATTGTAGTTAGATTTTCTCTTGTAATTATTACGGTGCTGGGACTATTTGAGTTTTAAAATCCTTTCTCAAGATCCCGAAGCTATCAGTGGTTCTGCTGGCATTAGGGGTTGATGTGGTTTGGGTCTGTGTCCCTGCCCAAATCTCATGTTGAATTGTAATCCCCAGTGCTGGATGTGGCGCCTGGTGAGAGGTGTTTGGATCATGGGGGCGGATCCCTCACGGCTTGCTGCAGTCTTCATGTTAGCGAGTTCTTGCAAGATCTGGTTATTTTAAAGTGTGGAGCACCTGCCCCCTTCTCTCTTGCTCCCGCTTTTGCCATGCGATGTGCCTGCTCCCGCTTTGCCTTCTAACATGAGTGAAAGCTCCCTGAGGCCTCCCCAGAGCCAGACGCCACTATGCTTCCCGTACAGCCTGCAGAACCACGATCCAGTTAAGCCTCTTTCTTTTCTTTGTAAATTACCCAGTCTCAGGTATTCGGGTTTTTTTGTTTTGTGGTTTTTTTTGTTTTGTTTTTTTGTACAGACATGGTCTTGCTTTGTTGCCCATGCTAGTCTTAAACTCCAGGCCTCAAGCAATTCTCCCACCTTGGCCTCCCAAAATGCTGGGATTACAGGCATGAGCCACCATACCCAGCCAGGTATTTCTTTACAGCAACACAAGACTGGCCGAATATTGAAGGATATTGTCACTGATTTAAAACTAGTTTTCTAGGCTGGGCGTGGTGGCTGACACCTGTAATCCCAGCACTTTGGGAGGCCAAGGCAGGCAGATCACCTGAGGTCAGGGGTTGGAGACCAGCCTGACCAACATGGAGAAACCTCATCTCTACTAAAAATACAAAAAAAAGTAGCCGCAAGTAGTGCATGCCTGTAATCCCAGCTACTCGGGAGCCTGAGGCAAGAGAATCGCTTGAACCCAGGAGGCAGAGATTGCAGTGAGCCAAGATCGAGCCATTGCACTCCAGCCTGGAGGAACAAGATCAAAACTCCACCTCAAAAAAAAAAAAAAAAAACTGGTTTTCTTTCTTGTATGTCACTCTGCTTGATCAACCTTAAATAGTCCTTTAAAATAACTTGTAAGATTTACCTAACTATGCTTTTCATATTGTCCTTCAATCCTTGTACTTACTGCATAAACATGTTTTATGCTTATTATATAGGTATTTAAATAATGCATATAGGCCCTATATTTCTCCATCAATGTCATAATTTTTATCAGCTGCATAATTTTGAATCACATTAATATACCCTCCTTCACCTTCCGTCTATCCAAAAGGTATGAGAAGGGGAAAGACAAGAATAAAAGGAAAGTGCTCATAGATAATTGGAATAGGTCCATATCTACTAAAGCAATTGAAACAATAATTAATAACCTTCCAAAACAGAAAGCCAAGACCCCAATTGGTTTGCTGATGAATTCTACCAAACATTTAAGGAAGAAATTATACCAATTTTCTTCTGTGTTTTTTTGAAAGACAGAAGCAGAGGGAATATTCCCTAACTCATTTTATGAGGCCAGCATTACCCTAATGTCAAATACAGACAGACATTACCAGAAATAAAAGAAAAGAGAAAGAAGAAAAGAAAAGAAGAAATAAAGAAACAAAAAACTATACGGATTAATAGTGCTCAGAAACCTAGATGCAAAGGAGTTGCAATCCTAGTCTCTGATAAAATGGACTTTAAACCAACAAAGATCAAAAGAGACAAAGAAGGGCATTACATAATGGCAAAAGGATCAATGCAACAAGAGAACTAATGATCCTAAATATAGACGCACCCAATACAGGAGCACCCAGGTACATAAAGTTCTTAACGACCTACAAAGAGACTTAGACTTCCACACAATAATAGTGGGAGACTTTAACGCTCCACTGTCAATATTAGACAGATCAATGAGACAGAAAATTAACAAGGATATCCAGGACTTGAACTCAGATCTGGACCAAGCAAACCTAATAGACGTTTACAGAGCTCTCCACCCCAAATCCACAGAATATACATTCTCACCACTGCATGGCACCAACTTTAAAATTGACCACATAATTGGAAGTAAATCACTCCTCAGCAAATGCAAAATAATGGAAATCATAACAAACAGTCTCTCAGACCACAGTACAATCAAATTAGAACTCAGAATTAAGACACTAACTCAGAACCACACAACTACATGGAAACTGAACAACTGGCTCCTGAATGTCAACTGGATAAACAATGAAATAAAGGCAGAAATAGAGATGTTCTTCAAAACCAATAAGAACAAAGACACAATGTACCAGAATCTCTAGGACACCTTTAAAGCAGTGTCTAGAGGGAAATTTCTAGCAATAAATGCCCACCAGAGAAGCAAGGAAAGATTTAAAATTGACACCCTATCATCAAAAGTGAAAGAGCTAGAGGAGCAAGATAAAAAAAACTCAAAAAACTAGCAGAAGACAAGAAATAACTAAGATCATAGCAGAACTGAAGGAGATAGAGACACAAAAATTCCTTCAAAAAATCAATACATCCAGAAGCTGATTTTTTTGAAAAGATCAACAAAATAGACCACTAGCCAGATTAATAAAAAAAGAAAAGGGAGAACAATCAAATACATGCAATAAAAAACGATAAAGGGGATATCACCACTGACTCCACAGAAATATAAACTACAATCAGAGATTACTACAAACAACTCTATGCATAAAAAATTAGTAAACCTGGAAGAAATGGATAAATTCTTGGACACTTTCACCCTCCCAAGCCTAAACTAGGAAGAAGTTGAAACCTTGAACAGACCAACAACAAGGGCTGAAGTTGAGGCAGCAATTAACAGCCTACCAACCAAAAAAAGTCCAGATCCCCCCAGATGGGTTCCCAGCTGAATTCTACCAGACATACAAAGAGGAGCTGGTACCATTTCTTCTGAAACTATTCCAAACAATACAAAAAGAGGGAATCCTTTCCAAATCATTTTATGAGACCAACACCATCCTGATACCAAAACCCAGCAGAGACTTAACAAAAAAGAAAACTTCAAGCCAATATCCGTGATAAACATAGATGCAAAACTCTTCAATAAAATACTGTCAAACCAATTGCAACAGCACATAGAAAAGCTTATCCATCACAATCAAATTGGCTTCTTTTCGAACATCCAAGGCT